TCACTCTCACTCACTCTCACACTCACTCTCACTCTCACTCACTCTCACTCTCTCACTCTCTCACTCTCTCACTCTCTCACTCTCTCTCACTCTCACTCTCTCACTCTCTCTCTCTCTCTCTCTCTCTCTCTCTCTCTCTCTCTACCTGGAGGACATTAGAGATGGGGGGACATGATAACGACATACAAAATACTGAGAGGTATTGACAAGGTGGACAAAGACAAAATAGTCCAGAGAAAGGACACAGTTGGAAATTGAAGACACAGATGAATCACAGGGATGTTAGGAAGTATTTCTTCAGTGACAGAGTAGTCAGGAAGTGGAAGAGTGTGGGAAGCGATGTAGTGGAGGCAGGATCCATTCATAGCTTTAAGCAGAGGTATGATAAAGCTTATAGTGCAGGTAGAGTGACCCAGTAGCAGCCAGTGAAGAGGCAGGGCCATGAGGTATGACTTGGCCCCTGCAGCCACAACTAGGTGAGTACACAGTGGATCAGGGAATACCTGACAGGCAGGAAACAACAAGTGTTGGCACGTGACGAGATGTCAGAGTGGGCACGTATTGAGTGGGGTTCCACAAAGGTCAGTCCTTGGTCCAGTGCTGTTTCTTGTACATGTGAATGACATGACAAAATGGGTAGATTCAGGGGTGTCCCTGTTTGCAAGTGACATGAAACTAATGAGGAGAATGCAAGCAGATGAGGATCACATAAGACAACAAAAGGATCTGGATAGGCAACAAGCCTGGTTTGAAAATGGCTTCTGGAGTTCAGCCCCACCAGGTGCAAAGTTATGAAGCTTGGAGGACAAAGAACACTGTAGACGAAGTACTGACTAGGGGGGTCAAAGGCTGCAGACTCACTCAAGGATCTTGAGGTGAGCATCATACCGAGCACACCTGAGGTACACATAACAGGTAACTGCTGCAGCATATGGATGCCTGGCAAACCTAAGAATAACATTTCAATGCCTTAGCAAGGAATCATTCAAGACTACACTGTTTATGTCAGATCCATATTGGAGTATACAACACAGTATGGAACTCACACCGTGTCAGACACATTAAGAAATTATAGAAAGTGCTAAGGTTTACAATAAGAGTAGTCCTGCTGCTAAAGGGTATGTCCTAGAAGGAAAGGTTAAGGGAAATTGACCTGACGACACTGGAGGACAGGAAAGATGAGGGGGGGGGAGACATGATAACTACATATAAAATACTGAGAAGAATTGATAAGGTGGATAGGGATGTCTCAGAGTTGGGACACAGCAACAAGAGGTCACAAATGGAAGTTGAAGACTCAGATGAGTGAGAGGGATGTTAGGAAGTATATCTTCAGTTATAGAGTTGTCAAGAAATGGAGCAGTCTGGAGAGTAATGTAGTTTACCTGGAGTTTACCTGGAGAGAGTTCCGGGGGTCAACGCCCCTGTGGCCCGGTCTGTGACCGGGCCTCCTGGTGGATCAGAGCCTGATCAACCAGGCTGTTGCTGCTGGCTGCATGCAAACCAACGTACGAGCCACAGCCCGGCTGGTCAGGAACCGACTTTAGGTGCTTGTCCAGTGCCAGCTTGAAGACTGCCAGGGGTCTGTTGGTAATCCCCCTTATGTATGCTGGGAGGCAGTTGAACAGTCTCGGGCCCCTGACACTTATTGTATGGTCTCTTAACGTGCTAGTGGAGGCAGAATCCATGCATAGCTTTAAGAAGAGATACAATACAACTCATAGAGCAGGGAGATAGTTGACCTAGTAGTGACCAACGAAGAGGTGGGAACAGGAGCTGTGAATCGACCCCTGCAACCATAAATAGGTAAGTACAAATAGGTACATATGTATGTGTACACATATGGACATGCATATGCACGCACGTGCACACGCCTACACATGCGTGTGCACACCCATCCATCCGTCATCTATTTATCCACCCATTCATCCATCTATCCTATTTTAAGATATTCTAGATAAGATAGTAATAAGCCATTTGCCTAACGATATAGTAGTAGGATGAATTAAGTTAGGGACTCCTGTGAGTCATGGAAGACTGTTTTTTGACTTCAGTATATGACCAAGGTGGCATCATTTGCTAGTGCTAGATACTAGGTCAGCATCATGCTGGGCAGCAGCAGTTGCAGAGAAAGAGTTACCAGGGCAAGGCCATGCCAAATTGAAACATAGAAATCTGTGGCAGTATCTGTGGGTATTAACTCTACTCTGTGGTCTTTTTAACTACAGACTACAATAGTGGTTGTGATTCAGCCACTTTAAGACAACAGCTGAAAGGAGCTGAGGCATGTACACCTGGTAGAAATGCAAATTTTGTGACCCTGTCAAATGAGGTATCAGTAATTCTCTCTACTGTGGTACATGATTAACTACAAACATAAAAATAAATGTTTTCAAATTAATCTTCATGAACAAGTGATGAAATCGAGTGACATTGAATTGAATCAACATGTGTACTGTGTGCTGAACAGTCTAACCTGTGCGGTGACATAGAATGGTAGTGTGTGTCATATTGTCTACAGTATTCCATATGTGGAAAATTTTTTAATTTTCCGAAACTATAGTGCCTAATAGGTGTTTAATGTGTCTATATGGGTCAAAAATGTATTTGAAAATAAGAGTAGAACCAAGAGTTCCCTTTGCGCATGCGCGGATGTGCGGGAGGGGGAAGCGCGTATTGTTTTTGAATGGTGGTGAGGAAGCTGAGAAAACATGGAACCACGAAATTGACGTTCACGGTGGCCTAAGGATTAATATAGGCCTCATTTCATAATAAGAAGTGTCGTAATTGTTCCTGGTGGAGAGTGAGGGAACGGGATTTACGGGACCACAGTAATAGAGTGGTAAAAGTGTGATAAGAGAAGGAGCGGGTGACTGACGCGCCACAATGGACTGTGTCCTGGGGAAAATTACCCTTGGATTAATCATCACTCATCGGTCTCAGATCTTAATGGAGTGACCTCTAGTTTGTATAATAGTTATGAGACGTTAAATCGTCTTGTGAATTGTAATGTAATTAATGATAATAACGCTAAGTTAAGAGAATATGTGAAGTGAAATAAGTCGTTTGCTCCGAGTGAACACGCTAGACCTCGTTGTTAACGAGACGAGGAAAGGGAAACTCCTTGAGTCACGATGTCTAAAGCAGGACAAACCAGCGGATACCTCGTCCTGCTGGAATGAGAATCGTGTCGGTGTAGCAGGACATCGAAAATGAGATGGTGAATCAAGAAATGAGGAATATCAATCACCCACAGTTAAGTAACCCTTCTAGTTATAGCAACCTTAGACTGGCCAGTAGTGGTATGTTATAATTAGATAGGTTACGAGTGATCCAGCTACATCAAGTGACCACCAGAGAACATCTGGTAAGTATTGGGATTATGTACAAATGTTTTCCTTGACGGATGTATCCAGGTGTATCCTACCCCCCTCCCCTTCATTCAGCTAAACTAATATAATCTATACAGTCCACAATTAATTAGTAGCACCGTACTTGTGGGTGCTACCCAATCCATACTGGTCTCGGATAGATATGGATAAGATTGTGAGGTCGAGGGGACCACTTGGTGCGACCAGGGGTGGTTAAGTTTTCTCACATGTCTACACGGGGTGACTACGGTAAACAATATGATTGTCTCCCAATGAGATTACTGGTATGTATATAATGTTGAGGTACATACAGGTAAGCACCCTAGAAAATTTTCCATACCATAGATGATGTTTAACATGACTGAAGCAGGGAACAGAGGTCAATTCTTCAATCTAGCCATTGGATATTGGTGTCCAAGACATGGCGGTGCCACAGCTCCAGGTTACACGAGCTAAGGTAGGTCCGTTTTTCTAATGCAAATCCACAAAAATAAAAGGGTACGGCAGTAATCCGAAAAGGACCTGTTGTAGAATATTGGATATTTACCTTTGGGATGCTGTGATAAGTGGGCGAGCATCCAACACCAGGAAAATCATGCAGTATCTGGGTGTGTAAGTAATACAGTAAATATGTGTATTAGATTTTGTACTGTATTACTAGATGAAGAAATTTTTATTTGTACATATATACATGTATCTAATGTTTATGTACTGAAAATAATAAATATGATCATTAGATTTAGTATTGTCATGTGAGGTACTTCCTATATGTACACTGTATACATATAGGAAGCGATGTACTCATTTACCGACAACTTGGACGTACGATGGGCTCTCTGACCAATATGCATACCTAAATAATGTATATTAGAGCTGATTTCCTCTATTCTGTTTATTACAATATACAGTATACTATTGTATAAACATTTAAAAATATACTAAAAATGTTATAAATGGTGCAAAGGTGACATAAAAGCAGTATCAAAGATGGTTGACATAAAGCCACTACCATTATAGTATGCTTCTCATTTAGCGACGAATTCGTTAACCGATGCAGTATTAGAAGCAGAACTCCATCATTGAAGAGATGCTGTATTGTGTTTGAGTGTAATATAATTTTATCATTACCTCTAATTTATCTTCCCAAAATGTTCTGTATAACTTAGGGCTTTTCCATGTAGGAAACTCTTGCAACATAAATGTATCCTCTTGGAAAAATAAATTACTGTATTTTGATTATGAGAACATAGATGCACAGTACTGTATATGTTGTCAGAGGAGGGATAGGTTTGATGATTAATAGGTGACAGCTACTGCCTGACTTGCCAGACCATACCATGATTAGCATATGGAATATCTGATATACTTGATCCTCCATAAAACTAGTAGGATTGAGTTCATAAATGGATTCTTAGCAAGCTTGAAAGGTTTTTCATAATCATATCAAGAAGCTATAGCCTGTCAGAAGCATGTTTTAATTTGTACAGTGCTGCATTATATTTTTGTGCAGTGTAATAATTCAGGTATAGTCCAGTAGATTATAATTTGGTTCTGTAACTTCCCATTAGTAATGAAATAGTAGGAAATCTAAAAAATGCTTTGTCTTCATATAAGTCTCTTTTTTTTCAGGTCAGCAAATGACAGTGTAACCAAAACTAAGGTGGCTATCAAGAAGATATCCCCTTTTGAACATCAAACCTACTGCCAGAGAACCCTTCGAGAGATCAAAATATTAACGAGGTTCAAACATGAAAATGTAAGTACAATACTTTACTGTAATGAGTCACCAGTATGAGGGCAAGTACTGTATTTTGTTTTCAAATAAGAGTGCAGACACTACTTCCCACCTCCAAGACTCAAGTCTGTCACCGGTGTTGCTGAATCCCATCATAACTGTTATATGTACTGTTCACATTCCAACAGCATGTCAAATCATAAAAGCCATATTCCTCCACTCCTATCTAACAGGCTTGCTCAAGCTTGTTGGATGTCCAAACCCTCTAACATTAAGTAAGTAAGTAAGTAAGTAAGTTTATTCAGGTATACACAAATACAGTTACATAGAATTATCATACATAGCAGCATATGTGTAGAGAACCTAGGATAACCCAAAAAAGTCAGACAGAGTGACTTATTTCCAACCTTTCCTATGATGACCCCTACCCCTCATTCCCTCCACCCCAGATTTATATACCCTCCTAGTCATCCTATTTGTCTCCATCCTCCATCCTCTCTAAATGTCCAAACTACCTCAACAACCCCTCCTCAGCCCTGTGACTAGTTTTGAGAGGTTTTCCTTCTTCAGCCCAGCCTTGGGCCAGGCCTGTCTGTTCACTTTGGCAGCATTTGAGCTACATATTCATGACAGTCTGGGTGATCTGGCACTTGTCAGAGGTGCTTTCTTCAAAGCTCATTGTCTTCAGTTCAGGTACAGTGGACCCCTGGTTTTTGTCCTTAATCCGTTCCAGTACGTTGGTCAAAATCTGAAAAGGATGAAAACTGAAATAATATTTCCCATAAGAAATAATGTAAATCCAATTAATCCATTCCAGACACCTAAAAATATTAACAAAAAATACATTTTATAGAAAATAACTATAGTTTTACATACAGAAAACAGTGAGAAATAAATATAAAGCACTAATTTTAATGGATAAATGAACATTTAAATCACTTTTACCTTTATTGAAGACTCTTGTTGGCATATTCTTTACAAGATCCGCATGCAATTATCGCCTCCACAACACTATCTCCCTCTTACTGTTTTTTGTTGATCCACACCAACAACTACTTCTCAACATCTTCGATTGTTTGCCATTACTATCACCCTCTACCACCATTACTATCACCCTCTACCACCATCACTATCACCCTCTACCACCATCACTATCACCCTCTACCACCATCACTATCACCCTCTACCACCATCACTATCACCCTCTACCACCATCACTATCACCCTCTACCACCATCACTATCACCCTCTACCACCATCACTACCACCCTCTACCAGTATCACAACCACAACCACCCTCTACCAGCATCACAACCACAACCACCCTCTACCACCATCACTACTACCCTCTACCACCAATGTTTCGGATGAATGAGCGGAGTACGGTGGACCCTCGACCAGTGATATTAATCCGTTCCTGAGAGCTCATCGTTAATCGAAATTATCGTTAGTCGAGTTAATTTTCCCCATAAGAAATATTGGAAATCAAATTAATCCGTGCAAGACACCCAAAAGTATTGAAAAAAAAATTTTTTACCACGTGAAATATTAATTTTAATACACGCAAACTGAAGAAGATATGCACAGTTACATGACACTTACCTTTACTGAAGATCTGGTGATGATTGATGGGATGGGAGGAGGGGAGAGTGTTGATGGTGTTAGTGTTTAGAAGGGGAATCCCCTTCCATTAGGACTTCAGGTGGCAAGTCCTTTTTCGGGGTTACTTCCCTTCTTCTTTTAATGCCACTAGGACCAGCTTGAGAGTCACTGGACCTCTGCCGCACAACATATCTGTCCATAGAGGCCTGTACCTCCCGTTCCTTTATGACATTCCTAAAGTGTTTCACAACATTGTCAGTGTCACAATTAAACACTTGTTCAGGTTTCAGTTCTTCACTGTCTATGTACTCCTTGAATTCCTGCACATATTTTTCAGCTGCTTTTTGGTCCAAACTGGCAGCCTCACCATGCCTTATCACACTATGTATGCCACTACGATTCTTAAATCTCTCAAACCAACCTTTGCTGGCCTTAAATTCACTCGCATCACCACTAGTTGCTGGCATTTTTCTAATTAAATTCTCATGCAACTTCCTAGCCTTTTCACATATGATCACTTGAGAGATGCTATCTCCTGCTATCTGTTTTTCGTTTATCCACACCAATAACAGTCTCTCAACATCTTCTATCACTTGCGATCTCAGTTTCGAAAACATAGTTGCACCTTTGGCAAGAACAGCTTCCTTGATTGCCGTTTTCTTGGCCACAATAGTAGCGATGGTTGATTGGGGCTTTGTGTACAACCTGGCCAGCTCGGAGACACGCACTCCACTTTCATACTTAGCAATGATCTCTTTCTTCATATCCATAGTAATTCTCACCCTTTTTGCTGTAGGGTTGGCACTAGAAGCTTTCTTGGGGCCCATGGTGACTTATTTTGCAGGTGCAATCACTAAAAAGGCTGTGATAATATGAAATGTTCTGATTGTATGCTTGGAAGCAACCGCGGTGGCTGGCTGGCTTGTAAACACTGGCCAGAAGTGGACGCGTCTCAGACGGAACAAATAGCGTTGGTCGAGTTTTTTAGCGATAGTCGAGGCAAAATTTTTGCGTTAAAATGTATCGCTGGTCGGATTTATCGTTAATCGATGCCATCGTTGGTCGAGGGTCCACTGTATTGCTCACTGAACCAGTGACAGAGGCATACTGAGTCACATACACGTGAGCAGCTGCATCCCGGGCCGAAGGACATGTCTAATGCAGACGATTTCTGAGCAGAGGTACAAAACCTGGGGTAAAATTTCTCCCAAAAAAGTGGTTGAAATCCGAATTGTACGATATCCGCACCGGATGGAATCCGGGGGTCCACTGTACTAGTTTTCATACATACACCCCTTTATATATATATTCTCAAGTTTAAGTTTGAACATAACATAAGAAAGAAGGAACACTGCAACTGGCCTACTGACCCCTCCCCCCAGATTAGCCCAATGACCCCCCCCCCCCGAATTAGCCCAGTGACCCCCCCCCCCGAATTAGCCCAATGACCCCCCCCCCCAGGATTAGCCCAATGACCCACCCAGTCTGGTCACCTCCACTCAAGGATGGAGCATGGCACCAGACCCAGCAGCACAAGCTAGTCAGGTCCAACACACCCACCCACACCCACTCGTGTATTTATCTAACCTATTTTTAAAACTACTCAACGTTTTAGCCTCAATAACTGTACTCGGGAGTTTGTTCCACTCATCCACGACTCTATTACCAAACCAGTGCTTTCCTATATCCTTCCTGAATCTGAATTTTTCCAGCTTGAAACCATTGCTGCGAGTCCTATCTTGGCTGGAAATTTTCAGCACGCTATTTACATCCCCTTTCTTTATTCCTGTTTTCCATTTATACACCTCGATCATATCCCCCCTAATTCTACGCCTTTCAAGAGAGTGCAGATTCAGGGCCCTCAGTCTATCCTCATATGGAAGATTTCTGATGGTAGGTAAGACACATAGGCAACAGTTAGGCAACTTTATTTCGAAACGTTTTCTCCTACACAGTAGGCTTCTTAGTCGAATACAGAAAGAAGGCAGCAACAGTAGAGATGTGAAGACAATGTAATCAGTCCATCACCCTTGAAGTCGTAGAATTTGAGGTTGTCAGTCCCTCAGCCTGGAGAAGTTTGGTTCCATAGTCAGGAACTATCTGATAGTTCCTGACTATGGAACCGAACTTCTCCAGGCTGAGGGACTGACAACCTCAAATTCTACGACTTCAAGGGTGATGGACTGATTACATTGTCTTCACATCTCTACTGTTGCTGCCTTCTTTCTGTATTCGACTGAAGAAGCCTACTGTGTAGGCGAAACGTTTCAAAATAAAGTTTCCTAACTGTTGCCTATGTGTCTTACCTACCAACCTGTCGGTATTGTATACCATTTTGATGTTCAAGATTTCTGATACATGGGATCATCTTCATCATCCTCCTCTGTACATTTTCCAGAGCATTTATATCCATTCTGTAATACGGTGACCAGAACTGAGCAGCATAGTCTAAATGAGGCCTAACCAAGGATATATAGAGTTGAAGAACAACCTGAGGACTTCTATTATTTATACTTCTAGATATGAAGCCAAGAATTCTGTTAGCTTTATTGCGAACACTAATGCACTGTTGTCTTGGTTTTAGATTACTGCTAACCAGAACTCCTAAATCCTTTTTGCAATCAGTAGTATTAAGATCTACATTATTTAGTTTATATGTGGCATGGTTATTTAACTGTCCAACATTTAGAACTTTGCATTTGTCAATATTAAACCGCAACTGCCGCTTCTCCGACCATTGCATCAGTCTATTCAAATCATCCTGGAGTGCTCTAGTGTCCTCATTAGAATGAATTGGACGGCCTATTTTGGTGTCATCAGCAAATTTGCTTATGTCGCTATTTATTCCCTCATCTATGTCGTTTATGGAAATTGTGAACAACGGGCCCAACACTGACCCCTGAGGAACACCACTTGTGATGTGCCCCCATTCTGATTTCTCCCCATTTATGCAAGCTCTCTGCTGTCTATTTGTCAGCCATGCCTCTACCCAGGAAAAAATATCTATTCCATGTGCCTTAAGTTTCCTCAATAGCCTCTGGTGTGGAACTCTATCGAAAGCCTTACTGAAGTCCATATACACAATATCATATTCATTACCATGATCTACCTCCTTAAACACCTTACTGAAAAAAGTTAGTAAATTCGTAAAACCGTGTTGAGATTCATTAATCAATCTGTGCCTATCAAGATGGCTACGAATTGCTTCGGCAATTATTGATTCCAAAAATTTTTCCACTATGGAGGTAAAGCTTATTGGTCTATAGTTCGAAGCTAAGGACCTGTCACCTGCCTTGTAAATGGGTATTACATTTGCCATTTTCCACTTCTCAGGTACTATGCCAGTTTGTAGGGATATGTTAAAAAGATTAGCCAAAGGAATGCTAAGTTCCTCTTTACATTCCTTTAACACCCTTGCAAACAGTTCATCAGGGCCTGGGGATTTGTTAGGTTTTAGTTTCTCTATTTGTCTGAGGACCATGTCACTAGTTACTGCAATCGTACATAGTTTATTATCCTGTTCTACATAATCTATTATTTCAGGAATATCGCTAGTATTTTCCTGGGTGAAAACTGAGAGGAAGTAGGTATTGAGAATTTCACACATATCCTTATCACTGTCAGTGATCTGACCAGAGTTACTCTTAAGTGGGCCAATCTTGTCCCTAATCTTACTTCTGTATACCTGAAAGAACCCTTTTGGGTTAGTCTTTGATTCCCTTGTGACCTTAGCCTCATAATCCCTTTTTGCTTTTCTTATTCCTTTCTTTATTTCTCTCTAATTGAATATATTGATTTCTTAACTGCCCATCCCCTCTTTTGATATGCCTATATATGCCTCTCTTTTGACCAATGAGATGTTTTAATATATTATTCATCCATTTGGGATCATTTTTGTTAGATCTAATTTCCCTACTCGGAACAAAAGTTGTCTGGGCAGCTAGAACTATGCTCTGAAAAACGTCATATTGGCAACCAAGATCACCTACCTGACCCATAGTCAGGACATCCCAATTTAGCCCACCCAGGTAATTTTTCAGTCCCATGAAGTCGGTCAAGCGAAAATTTGGGACAGAGATTTGATTGCAGTTATCTGGGTAATTCCATGATATATTGAAACTAAGTGATTTGTGATCACTTTCCCCAAGCTCATCATTAACCTTAAGATTATTAATTAGTGAATCTTTGTTGGCAAGAACCAAGTCAAGCAGATTGTTTCCTCTAGTTGGTTCTGTCACAACCTGTTCTTTGTGGTTTACTTGGTGAGGGGTTCCTTGTTGGAACTTCATACTGAAGAATGGACTGCACATAGGTTAAATGTGTTTTGAAGTAGTTTTTGTCTAGGTTCCCGAATACTATTTTTATATTTGCCTTCTGAGCCACTGATGCTTATGTCTTATTTTTTTTTCTGTGTAATGGTTATTTCAAGGTATTTTTTCTTTAACTGATTCTGTGCCCTTTCCTTAGTACTGTAGCTTCTGTTTCCTTTAACTGTCTCCCAGCATAATAACCTTGCTTTTTATTGCCTGGGTTAAATTCCAGTCTGTCTGAGACTTCCTGCAGCCTTATTTCATCCTCCTCAGTTTGTATTCTTATTATTTGGCAGATGCTAAAGAATTTGCAAAATGTACATCTTCTTCTAAGTCATTAATATTCTGTACATCAGGATCAACATGGGGCCCAACCCTAATCATTGTGGAAGTCTTCTGTAATAGTTACTCTCCTAATACTTCATTCCATATATGTTTTGACTATTTTCTATTTTAGTATTCCTTTTTCCATGCTGTTCACGTCAATTTTAACTTCACTAATTTGCTAAGTTACCTACTGTACTATGTAGCACTATATCAGTTGTCTTTTTCAGTCTGAAGATGTAGACCACCAATACCCCTCCAACACATTGTACACTGTACACTGTAAACTTGTAATGAAATAAAGGAATTTGAATTTGAACTTGAACTCTACTAATATTTTTCATAGCTTGTGATTGCTTGGGTGTTGTTTTTTGAATGAGTGGGCTTTGGATACATAGGTGTGGAAAGTGGCTGGAGATGGTACATGATGGCTGGAGAGAAGGAGAAATAGGGAAGATGGGGGGAAAAATACCAGGGAAAACTTTCAGGGGTGCATGGAAGGTAATGTGTTGGAGAGAGGTGGTGCATATGTTGTGAAGATGGAAGCAAAGTGAGTAATGAAGTGTGAGTGAAATGGGGATGTACTCTTTATTTGCTCACCTTTTTGTTTTTGTTGGAATAGAGCTCTAGCTCTTGAACCCTGCTTCAACTCCAAATCAACAAATACACATACTTGTATGTTAGTTGTGCATATAATATGTGCAGATTGCAACAAATATGTTTTCTTTAATTTTTTCAGGTGATAGATATCCGTGACATAATAAGATCCCAGAAGATAGACGCAATGAAGGATGTTTATATTGTACAGTGCTTAATGGAAACAGATTTATACAAGCTACTTAAGTCTCAGGTCTGTTAAAATACTGTTCTCCCTCATTTTACTCATATATTGTATTTGTAGCTAATCAATGCTTCATATTCCAGTATTTATTCAAATAGTTAAGGTTTGGTTAGATTAACATAAATTAACCTAGTATATATTTATGTATAGTTACCCAACAATAATAAAATAATACTGAAACAGCAACGGGCAGCTTAGGTCTGGCAGCATGGGACATACCGCAAATTTAATAGTGTTAGTATCCCCATTTGAGCTGTTCAAGTTGGAGGATATGCTTCATGGCTATCACATTGAATAAGGGTCTTAACCCTTTCGGGTCCGTCCCGTAGATCTACGGCTTTACGTTCAGGGTCCAAACCGTAGATCTACGTCATGAGCTCAGCTCACTCTGATAAACTGTGAGTGGTAAATTTGGGCCTAGATATGAGAGAATACATCTATGTGGTATGTGTGCACCACATAAAACAAGTCCTGCAGCACACTGTGTATAATGAGAGAAAAAAACTGAGACCATGATTTTCGATTAAAACAGTGACTTTGCAGTGTTTTTTCGTATGTTTTTTATAGTTGTATTTGTGATTTCTTGGTCTCATTTGATAGAATGTAAGACATATTACAGAAATAGAGATAATTTTGATTGGTGTTAGCACTGGAAATGGCTTGAAACTGAGCTCAAAGTGGCGGAAATGTTAAATTTTTGCCGGTGTTCAAGAGTAAACAAACGACCTCACACGTCTAATACACGCCAGCTGGTGGGTCTAATATACATTCACAAATGTGGTGATGATATTTATACAATTATTACAATATTGCATAACAGTAAATCTTCTATTTTTTGGTGTGAATAAAAAATCAAAATGGAATTTATTTGTAAAGCCTCAAAACATAACTAATGAACAGAGGAAATGTTAGTTTAGTGCCAGGAATACCTACATTGTTTATTCTGGACCCTATTTTGAAATTGGAATATTTTGAACTTTGTGTTAAATTGGCCAAATTACCAATTTCCGGTCACTTTATTTTGTAGTTGAAACAGTTGACTTGGCGATTTCTTGTGCTCAATCGATAGAATAGAAGTAATACTAGTGAAATAGCTAAGAATTTGGTCGACTGGAATAATGTAATTGGCCTAAAATGGGAGTCAAAGTCGGCAAAATCGTCGATTCGTAAATATCGCTGACACATCAAAATTCACGAGAGCATAATTTCGTCAATTTTCCATCAAATTTTGTACTTTTTGTTTTATTACATTCACAAAAAGATTCTCTACCATTTCATAAGAAAAAATAAAATTTTTTTTTTTTTTGAAAATTCTTGGACACTGGGACACCACTTCAGATTTTGGCCTTGGACCCTGAAAGCGTTAAATCTTGTTTGCTCATTTTAGTTTTTAACTTTTGTGCTTAACGTTGGTCTATTTACATCCACTTTGTTATTGTTTGAGTAAAGTTTATATCTAATTTCCTTTTTCATATATTTTTGCTAGTCATAATTTTTTCAAATTTCATGAGTTTATTTATTGATATAACTAGGGAATGAATACAGAGATTCCTCCTTCAAATGCCTTCAGCTTTTGATTACCAACTAATTTATATATACCTATCAATTAATCTTCTGTGGTGATTTTTCTTAATAAAATAATTCACCATAATTTATTACAGAAACTGAGTAATGACCATATTTGTTACTTTCTCTATCAAATCCTCCGAGGCTTGAAATATATCCATTCTGCGAATGTTCTTCACCGTGATTTGAAACCATCTAACTTGCTACTGAACACCACATGTGACCTGAAGGTGAGTCTGGTTGGTTGACTAATATTCATTAAGGCTGGGCTGATCTCTAGTGATTTAGAAAAGGTTCTTCTATTTTCAGCTTTACAGTTGCCTATTAGAATTTTTTCTGATTAAGAATATATAAGATAACCAAAGATATATAACTAGAAATTTAAATATAAAGAAAAATTGGGGGAAACCATTTGGACTTGAATTCTCGATGTGATGTACAGTGCCTGCTCTGTGAAGGATGAGTGGGGATAGTGCAGCTCAGATGATCTGCATTTCTGGTTTATTGATAGTGAATGTTTTTCCTTCTTTTATCTGCCCTACTTTAGTGGAGTGTGTCATATATGATAAAAGAAATTGTTAACCCAAGCAGTGTAGATAACCACCTAGATGCCTGTCATTTTTGGCTAATTCTTCAAATTTATAATTTTTTTAAGAGGTTAAACAACAGCAATGCAAATTGTTTCATTTACTATATATGTATGGCTGTAATAAACAACTATATTGTGACTCTAAAGTTCTTGCAACCATTTGGTTGGTGTAAATATTCATAAATTTCAGGGGTAGTCAAGCAGTTCATTCTAAATATAATGGTCCCTACTGTCAAAAAGCAGCAGACTTTACTACCATGTGAACATTTGTTTAATGGCTACCTGATATCGCCAAGAAACTGAAACAGTCAACAACTTACTGTATTTTGCAGACTGTAATTTATATACTGGTAGTCATCTTCCTGTGGTAGGTTCCTTGGGAGACCCCTGGAATACATCATACCTCATTTACATCAATACTTGTCTCTCTGAACCCAACATGGGCCATCATACGTCATACTCTCAGTATAGCCTCATCCATACGCTAATAGCTGTTTGCTTGTCATGTCAGGCACCAACTGAGAACACAGTAAAGCCCCTAGCACCAGTAGTCATCCTTGTGGTATAACATTAATTTTGATTTCTTCTTTCTCCCTGGACTAGTCCTCAGCTGATACTGCATTTTGTTGAGCCTTTGAGGGTCCTGCAGTTGCTGTCAGGATTTTTGGAAATCCTCACTGCTGTTGTAGGATCTGTTCTAAATGGTCATTCACTCTTGCCCACCATTCTTGTTATGGCAATGCAACTTAGCCAGTGTTTTCTTTACCTTGCCATGACTGTTGATCCTTACAGGTACTTGAGGGATCCTTATCATGTGACATCGGAGGATTCCCTTACTAGTGCTGTGAATCTGAAATGGCTGTTTTCTCATTGAGAGAATTTGGAACCTGTAAGAAGGGTGCAAGCCCTATTGGATGCCTAAGTGCCTACTACCTTCAGACTGGGATTCTTCTGGAGGCACATGCTAGTCAGTCATATTTAGTCAAAGGCCAATCCTCTCAACCCTCATCCTGGGGCTTTTCTACCCCAGGATGGGGGCCGTTTAATGCTGTTGAGGACAATCTTGCTCGCGGTTGGCAAGGGAGTCCCTGGAGGATGTCTTCACTCTTTGCAGTACTAAGGAAGGGTGTCCAGTTATTCTTCTGGAGGGCCATTTTTTCTTTTTTCTCTGTCAATTTGTTTTTCCCCCTTATTCCCTTAACTGCTTTATCTATGCTCATCAACCATAGTCGTGAACTTTAATAGGGATGATGTGGTGGAGTGGTATCTGACACTGGGTAAATTCTTGTCTCATGTTAGACCTCAAGGATCTTAATCTTCACATGCCATTAATGAGGTTCAAGTTGGAATCCATCTCCATTTTCCTGGGCAATCAGTTTGCTCTTCCTCTGTTCAATCTGGGAATTCATCCACAGACTTCACGGTGTTAGAAAGTGTTCTTAAGGAGCTTATTTCCTTGCTCCAACTTTCTCTCAGCCCCTCTATTGAATGCTTGGGTGGAATGGGTGATGGATAGACATTCCTTGACTCTCCACAGGGATGTCTCACCTCCTCTCCAACTGGCATTGCAGGATGCCCTTCTGTGGTCTTTACCAATTCCTGGAGTTCAGTTCTCATGGCCTTATTTGTCTTCTAGGTCGGTCACTCATGATAGATGGCCCTTCTGTGGGGTGGAGCATTTTCCCAATATGTCCTAGAGTGCAGGGCTTTGATGCTCTCATCAGTGTTAGTTCCCAGTTAATTGGTTGAAACTAAGCAATTCATATAGTCATGTACTGGTTATTTTCATATAGTCGGACTTGAGTCCTGGAAATGGGAAGTACAATGCCTGCACTTTAAAGGAGGGGTTTGGGATATTGGCAGTTTGGAGGGATATGTTGTGTATCTTTATATGTGTATGCTTCTAGACTGTTGTATTCTGAGCACCTCTGCAAAAACAGTGATAATGTGCGAGTGTGGTGAAAGTGTTGAATGATGATGAAAGTATTTTCTTTTTGGGGATTTTCTTTCTTTTTTGGGTCACCCTGCCTCGGTGGGAGACGGCCGACTTGTTGAAAAAAAAAAAAAAAAAATGTACTGGCAGTAGTCACCTCTTTTATTACTCCTTGGTTTCTTTTGTAGATTGTCACTTTGAATGCTTCTTGGGTTACAGTGCCTCAAACTATGTTCTCCCTGGGCCAGCACCGAGAGCTAGTCAGAAGTTTTGTAGGAGCCCATCCCTTTTCTTCTTTGTAGATGTCCTGGCAGTGGTCTACTGGCATTGGAAAATGCCTTCATGCACCACACCACCTACAAATTTTGTTTCTCCTGCTGAATGTTACCTGAAAGCATGTTATGCAGTAGAAGGGTTATCCTAGAGTCACAGGCTTATCCAAGAAAATTGTGTGACTGGGTCCTTAATGATATGTGGTCAAATACTTCTCACTTGGGCCTGTATGAGAGCTTTCAGCCTGGCCAAGATAAGTCAGGGCCTTTTCTTGGCCAGGCTGATATCTGGACCTTAGGCTTTGGTGGGTCATCCATGTATATTTGAAGGGTCATGGCTGATGACTACACAGGGCTTTCACTCTGTTGCTTATTCTTGTGCATGGTATATATGCACTGGCAGAGTTTATTTGACCCCAAAGGTCTTTGCTCAGGTCCATGTTCAAAGATCCTCTCCTAGATATCCTAAAGGGATTAGTACCAAACTTGCACATGAAAATCACTTTTCAAAAGCAGAAGACTCGGCAGGAGATACAACATTCCCCCAATGAAAAGCAGGGGCACCACGAGTATGCTAAGTGACAACACTATAAGTGTCAGGGGGCCAAGACTCTTCAACTGCCTCCTAGCATACATAAAGGATATTACCAATAGACCCCTGGCTGTCTTCAAGAAGATGCTGGAGAGGCACCTAAAGTCAGTACCTGATAAGCTGGGCTGTGGTTTGTACGTTGGTTTATGTGCAGCCAGCAGTAACAGCCTGGTTGATCAGTCCCTGATCCACCATGAGGCCTGGTCTCAGACTGGGCCACAGGGGCATTGACCCCTGAAATCCTCTCCAGGTATAACCCATCAGGACAGAATGCTTATCAGCAGTGTTGCTAATCACCCTTCTCCTTGGCTTGGCTACAGTCTGCACACCCATCCCATAGGTGTTTGGTTGCTCCCTCTGTGGGTCATTGGTGTGGATGGTATGACTGCTTATGGAACCCCCGTAGCTCTCATCAGAGAATAGTATACGTACTTTCATTTGAAAAGCTCAATTCTGAATATGGGACCATGGCGAACAGGACCCTAAACTGAGCACAGGGTGCTTGATGTACCTTCCTGTGGTCAGAGAAGTGAGTACAGTGGAACTTCGGTATACATCCAGCTCCCTACTCGAACAAAGCTCAGCACTCGACTAAACAAATACGACCTGCGAGAACTTCGCTCTAAACTATTTCATGTTTCTTCACATTTTTTGGTGTTTTTTGTATTATATGTATAAGGTAGTAGGTAGGTAGACAGCAACCACCCAGGGGGGTATTACCGTCCTGCCAATTGAGTGTGAAACGAAAGCCTGTAATTGTTTTACATGATGGTAGGATTGCTGGTGTCTTTTTGTCTGTCTCATAAATATGCAAGATTACAGGTACATATTGGTACTTCTACTTACACTTAGGTCACACTACACATACATGTACATGTTTAGTTATACACACTCATCTGAGTTTTCTTTAATTTTATCTTAATAGTTCTTGGTCTTATTACTTTTCCTTTTATATCCATGGAGAAGTGGAATAAGAATCTTTCCTCTGTAAGCCATGCGTGTTGTAAAAGTCAACTAAAATGCCGGGAACAATGGGCTAGTAACCCCTTTTCCTGTAATAATTACTAAAAAGAATAAGAAGAAGAAAATTGTCAAAGTGGGAAGTCTGAATGTGCGTGGATGTTGTGCAAATTATAAGAAAGAGACGATTGTGGATGTTATGAATGAGAAGATGCTGGATGTCCTGGCTTTAAATGAAACAAAGCTGAAGAGGGCGGGTGAGTTTCAGTGGAGAGGAATAAATGGGATTAGGTCAGGGGTTTCAAATAGAGTTAGAGCTAAAGAAGGAGTAGCAATAATGTTGAATGATAAGTTATGGCAGGAAAAGAGGGACTATAAATGTATTCAAGGATTATGTGGAGTAAAATAAAGGTTGGATGTGAAAAGTGGGTTATAGTAAGCATGTATGCACCTGGAGAAGAGAGAATTGTAGAGGAGAGAGAGAGATTTTGGGAAATGTTGAGTGAATGCATGGGGAGTTTTGAAGCAAGTGTGAGAGTAATTGTGGTTGGGGATTTCAATGCTAAAGTGGGCAAAAATGTTGTGGAGGGAGTAGTAGGTAAATTTGGGGTGCCAGGGGTAAATGAAAATGGGGAGCCTTTAATTGAGCTATGTGTAGAAAGAGGTTTGGTAATAAGTAATACATATTTTATGAAGAAGAGGATAAATAAATATACAAGGTATGATCTAGCATGTAATGAAAGTAGTTTGTTAGATTATGTATTGGTGGATAAAAGGTTGATGGGTAAGCTCCAGGATGTACACGTTTATAGAGGGGGCAACTGATATATCGGATCATTATTTAGTTGTAGCTACAGTTAGAGTAAGAGGTAGATGGGAAAAGAGGAAAATGGCAACAACAAGCAAGAGGGAGGTGAAAGTGTATAAACTAAGGGAGGAGGAAGGTCGGGTGCGATGTAAGCAACTATTGGCAGAAAGGTGGGCTAGTGCAAGTATGAGTAGTGGGGGGTTGAAGAGGGTTGGAATAGTTTTAAAAATGTAGTATTAGAATGTGGGGCAGAAGTTTGTGGTTATAGGAAGGTGGGTGCAGGAGGAAAGAGGAGTGATTGGTGGAATGATGAAGTAAAGGGTGTGATAAAAGAGAAAAAGTTAACTTATGAGAGGTTTTACAAAGCAGAAGTGCTATAAGAAGAGTAGAGTATATGAAGAGTAAAAGACAGGTGAAGAGAGTGGTGAGAGAGTGCAAAAGGAGAGCAGATGATAGAGTGGGAGAGGCACTGTCAAGAAATTTTAATGAAAATAAGAAAAAATTTTGGAGTGAGTTAAACAAGTTAAGAAAGCCTAGAGAACGAATGGATTTGTCAGTTAAAAACAGAGTAGGGGAGTTAGTAGATGGGGAGACGGAGGTTTTGGGTAGATGGTGAGAATATTTTGAGGAACTTTTAAATGTCGATGAAGAAAGGGAAGCAGTAAGTTCATGCACTGGCCAGGGAGGTATTCCATCTTTTAGGAGTGAAGAAGAACAGGTTGTGAGTGTGGGGGAGGTGCATGAGGCATTACGTAGAATGAAAGGGGGTAAAGCAGCTGGAACTGATGGGATTATGACAGAAACGTTAAAAGCAGGGGGATGGGGAAACAGTGTTGGAGTGGTTGGTATTTTTGTTTAATAAATGTATGAAAGAGAGGAAGGTACCTAGGGATTGGCAGAGAGCATGTATAGTCCCTTTATATAAAGGGAAGGAGGACAAAAGAGATTGTAAAAATTATAGAGGAATAAGTTTACTGAGTATACCAGGAAAAATGTACGGTAGGGTTATGAAAATAAATTGTATAAAATACCGACACAATGGAAACATAAACACATATGCAGTTTAATGTGATCCTTTATTGACAGCGTTTCGCCCACACAGTGGGCTTTTTCAAGTCACACACAGATCTGTCTGTGACTTGAAAAAGCCCACTGTGTGGGCAAAACGTTGTCAATAAAGGATCACATTAAACTGCATATGTGTTTATGTTTCCACGGTAGGGTTATAAATGAAAGAATTAGAAGTATGGCAGAATGTAGGATTGCGGATGAGCAAGGAGGTTTCAGAGTGGGTAGGGGATGTGTAGATCAAGTGTTTACATTGAAGCATATATGTGAACAGTATTTAGATAAAGGTATGGAAATTTTTATTGCATTTATGGATTTAGAAAAGGTATATGATAGTGGATGGGGAGCAATGTGGCAGATGTTGCAAGTATATGGAATAGGTGGTACGTTACTAAATGCTGTAAAGAGTTTTTATGAGGATAGTGAGGCTCAGGTTAGGGTGTGCAGAAGAGAGGGAGACTACTTCCCAGTAAAAGTAGGTCTTAGATAGGGATGTGTAATGTCACCATGGTTGTTTAATATATTTATAGATGGGGTTGTAAAAGAAGTAAATGCTAGGGTGTTTGGGAGAGGGGTGGGATTCAATTATGGGGAATCAAATACAAAATGGGAATTGACAGAGTTGCCTTTTGCTGATGATACTGTGCTTATGGGAGATTCTAAAGAAAAATTGCAAAGGTTAGTGGATGAGTTTGGGAGTGTGTGTAAAGGTAGAAAGTTGAAAGTGAACATAGAAAAGAGTAAGGTGATGAGGGTATCAAATGATTTAGATAAAGAAAAATTGGATATCAAATTGGGGAGGAGTATGGAAGAAGTGAATGTTTTCAGATATTTGGGAGTTGACGTGTCATGGATGGATTTATGAAAGAAGAGGTTAATCATAGAATTGATGAGGGAAAAAAGGTGAGTGGTGCGTTGAGGTATTTGTGGAGACAAAAAACGTTATCTATGGAGACAAACAAGGGAATGTATGAAAGTATAATAGTACCAACGCTCTTATATGGGTGTGAAGCTTGGGCTGTGAATGCAGCAGCGAGGAGACGGTTGGATACAGTGGAGATGTCCTGTCTAAGGGCAATGTGTGGTGTAAATATTATGCAGAAAATTTGGAGTGTGGAAATTAGGAGAAGGTGTGGAGTTAATAAAAGTACAGTGGACCCCCGCATAACGATTACCTCCGAATGCGACCAATTATGTAAGTGTATTTTTGTAAGTGCGTTTGTACGTGTATGTTTGGGGGTCTGAAATGGACTAATCTACTTCACAATATTTCTTATGGGAACAAATTCGGTCAGTACTGGCACCTGAACATACTTCTGGAGTGAAAAAATATCGTTAACCGGGGGTCCACTGTATTAGTCAGAGGGCTGAAGAGGGATTGTTGAGGTGGTTTGGTCATTCATAGAGAATGGATTAAAGTAGAATGACATGGAGAGCATATAAATCTGTAGGAGAAGGAAGGCGGGGTAGGGGTCGTCCTCGAAGAGGTTGGAAGGAAGGGGTAAGGGAGGTTTTGTGGGCGAGGGGTTCAGACTTCCAGCAGGCGTGCATGAGCGTGTTCGATAGGAGTGAATGGAGACGAATGGTATTTGGGACCTGACGATCTGTTGGAGTGTGAGCAGGGTAATATTTAGTGAAGGGATTCAGGGAAACTGGTTATTTTTATATAGCCGGACTTGAGTCCTGGAAATGGGAAGTACAATGCCTGCACTCTAAAGGAGGGGTTCGGGATATTAGCAGTTTGGAGGGGTATGTTGTGTATCTTTATACGTATATGCTTCTAAACTGTTGTGTTCTGAGCACCTCTGCAAAAACAGTGATTATGTGTGAGTGAGGTGAAAGTGTTGAATGATGATGAAAGTATTTTCTTTTTGGGGATTTTCTTTCTTTTTGGTCACCCTGCCTCGGTGGGAGACGGCTGACTTGTTAAAAAAAAAAAATTCAATGTATATTATATTTTTTTTTTCCTAAATTTCAGATAAAGCTCATATTTTACAGATCTGTGACTTTGGTTTAGCTCGAGTTGCTGACCCAGAACATGACCACACTGGCTTTCTAACAGAATATGTTGCCACTCGCTGGTACCGTGCTCCAGAAATTATGCTCAATTCTAAGGTAAGTGCTGCTTCACAACACTTTATTATACTTAAATTGGATATAATTTTTTTTCAAGTACTGTAACCATATTCTTTGCCTTTCTCCTTTTACCTTCTAGGTCTGTGTATGAGGTTTCTTTAAATTGAACATCAAAGATGAATCACATTTTTGCTTATTCTATCTCCTCAGAATTTATCCTTAAAATTTGGTGTATCTTTTTAGGAATTGTTGCTGGGCAACAAACAGTTGGCATTCTTAATGTACATAAGTGATAAAGATAAGTGGTGGAATATAAAAATAACTTTTATTTATTGATTTATTTACAGTATAAACTACTGTATTCTGTGCAGTGCAAAAATATGAAGAAAAAGTAATTTACATTTATTCAAAATAAATCGTGGATGTATTGTGAATGAAAAGAAAGAGATAATTGTGGATGTTACGAATGAAAAGAAGCTGGATGTCCATGCTCTCAGTGAAATAAAGCTGAAGGGGGTAGGAGAGTTTCAGTGGGGAGAAATAAATGGGATTAGGTCACAGGTTTCTAATAAAGTTAGAGCTAAGGAAGGAGTAGCAATAATGTTGAAGGATAAGTTATGGCAGGAAAAGAAGGAAAATAAACGTATAAATTCAAGGATTATGTGGAGTAAAATAAGGGTTGTATGTGAAAAGTGGGTTATAGTAAGTGTTTATGCACCTGGAGAAGAGAGAAGTGTAGAGGAGAGAGAGATTTTGGTAAATGTTGGGTGAGTGAGTGGGTGGGGAGTTTTGAACCAAGTAAGAGTACAGTGGACCCCCGCTTTACGATCACCTCCCAATGCGACCAATTATGTAAGTGTATTTATGCAAGTGCGTTTGTACGTGTATGTTTGGGGGTCTGAAATGGACTAATCTAATTCACAATATTCCTTATGGGAACAAATTCATTCAGTACTGGCACCTGAACATACTTCTGGAATGAAATAATATCGTAAACTGGGGGTCCACTGTACTTGTAGTTGGGGATCTCAATGCTAAAGTGGGCAAAAATGTTGTAGAGGGAGTAGTAGGTAAATTTGGGGTGCCAGGGGTAAATGAAAATGGGGAGTCTTTAATTGAACTATGTGTAGAAAGAGCTTTGGTAATAAGTAATACATTTTTTTATGAAAAAGATGATAAATAACTGTACATGATATGGTTTAGCACGTAATGAAAGTAGTTAGAATATGTATTGGTGGATAAAAGGTTGATGGGTAGGCTTCAGGATGTACATGTTTATAGGGGGGCAACAGATATATCAGATCATTATCTAGTTGTAGCTACAGTTGGAGTAAGGGGTAGATGGGACAAAAGGAAAATGGCAACATTAAGAGAGAGGTGAAAGTTTATAAACTAAGGAAGGAGAAAGTTAGGGTGAGATATAAGCAACTATTGGCAGAAAGGTGGGCTAGTGCAAGTATGGTAGTGGGGGGGGGGGAGTTCAAGAGGGATGGGATAGTTTTAAAAATGCAGTATTAGAATGTGGGGCAGAAGTTTTTGGCTATAGGAGGGTGGGTGCAGGAGGAAAGAGGAGTGATTGGTGGAATGATGAGGTAAAGGGTGTGATAAAAGAGAAGAAAGTAGTGTGAAGGCTTACTCAGCCCTGTAAGATCTTAAGTTGGTCTTACCAAGGCTGGCTCCTCCTTAGGAAAATTAATGAATAGAAAAATAACAATAACATACAAATATAAACACTTTACTGTTAGAATTGAAAATATAAAACATTTAAATATGAACTTTTATCCTACTTAAAAGAGAAATGAAAAATGAAATTATTTTTTTTTTTTATTATCACACTGGCCGATTCCCACCAAGGCAGGGTGGCCCGAAAAAGAAAAACTTTCACCATCATTCACTCCATCACTGTCTTGCCAGAAGGGTGCTTTACACTACAGTTTTTAAACTGCAACATTAACACCCCTCCTTCAGAGTGCAGGCACTGTACTTCCCATCTCCAGGACTCAAGTCCGGCCTGCCGGTTTCCCTGAACCCCTTCATAAATGTTACTTTGCTCACACTCCAACAGCACGTCAAGTATTAAAAACCATTTGTCTCCATTCACTCCTATCAAACACGCTCACGCATGCCTGCTGGAAGTCCAAGCCCCTCGCACACGAAACCTCCTTTACCCCCTCCCTCCAACCTTTCCTAGGCCGACCCCTACCCCGCCTTCCTTCCACTACAGACTGATACACTCTTGAAGTCACTCTGTTTCGCTCCATTCTCTCTACATGTCCGAACCACCTCAACAACCCTTCCTCAGCCCTCTGGACAACAGTTTTGGTAATCCCGCACCTCCTCCTAACTTCCAAACTACGAATTCTCTGCATTATATTCACACCACACATTGCCCTCAGACATGACATCTCCACTGCCTCCAGCCTTCTCCTCGCTGCAACATTCATCACCCATGCTTCACACCCATATAAGAGTGTTGGTAAAACTATACTATCATACATTCCCCTCTTTGCCTTCAAGGACAAAGTTCTTTGTCTCCACAAACTCCTAAGTGCACCACTCACCCTTTTCCCCTCATCAATTCTATGATTCACCTCCTCTTTCATAGACCCATCCGCTGACACGTCCACTCCCAAATATCTGAATACATTCACCTCCTCCATACTCTCTCCCTCCAATCTGATATCCAATCTTTCATCACCTAATCTTTTTGTTATCCTCATAACCTTACTCTTTCCTGTATTCACTTTTAATTTTCTTCTTTTGCACACCCTACCAAATTCATCCACCAATCTCTGCAACTTCTCTTCAGAATCTCCCAAGAGCACAGTGTCATCAGTAAAGAGCAACTGTGACAACTCCCACTTTATGTGTGATTCTTTATCTTTTAACTCCACGCCTTTTGCCAAGACCCTCGCATTTACTTCTCTTACAACCCCATCTATAAATATATTAAACAACCATGGTGACATCACACATCCTTGTCTAAGGCCTACTTTTACTGGGAAATAATTTCCCTCTTTCCTACATACTCTAACTTGAACCTCACTATCCTCGTAAAAACTCTTCACTGCTTTCAGTAACCTACCTCCTACACCATACACTTGCAACATCTGCCACATTGCCCCCCTATCCACCCTGTCATACGCCTTTTCCAAATCCATAAATGCCACAAAGACCTCCTTAGCCTTATCTAAATACTGTTCACTTATATGTTTCATTGTAAACACCTGGTCCACACACCCCCTACCTTTCCTAAAGCCTCCTTGTTCATCTGCTATTCTATTCTCCGTCTTACTCTTAATTCTTTCAATAATAACTCTACCATACACTTTACCAGGTATACTCAACAGACTTTTTTTTTTTTATTATCACACTGGCCGATTCCCAGCAAGGCAGGGTGGCCCGAAAAAGAAAAACTTTCACCATCATTCACTCAACAGACTTATCCCCCTATAATTTTTGCACTCTCTTTTGTCCCCTTTGCCTTTATACAAAGGAACTATGCATGCTCTCTGCCAATCCCTAGGTACCTTACCCTCTTCCATACATTTATTAAATAATTGCACCATCCACTCCAAAACTATATCCCCACCTGCTTTTAACATTTCTATCTTTATCCCATCAATCCCGGCTGCCTTACCCACTTTCATTTTACCTACTGCCTCACGAACTTCCCCCACACTCACAACTGGCTCTTCCTCACTTCTACAAGATGTTATTCCTCCTTGCCCTATACACGAAATCACAGCTTCCCTATCTTCATCAATATTTAACAATTCCTCAAAATATTCCCTCTATCTTCCCAATACCTCTAACTCTCCATTTAATAACTCTCCTCTTCTATTTTTAACTGACAAATCCATTTGTTCTCTAGGCTTCCTTAACTTGTTAATCTCACTCCAAAACTTTTTCTTATTTTCAACAAAATTTGTTGATAACATCTCACCCACGCTAATATGTACAGTTAGACTGGGGTATCTGGTTGATGTTGACACCGCGCATTGTAGAAATTGTAGCCATTGCTGATGATGTGGGGGGGGGTGGTCACAGCTGGTGAGTGACAACCCAACGACTATTCATTCACAGTAGGTTTTGCCTTGAATGATCCGTCAAGATGATAGGAACGCAGGTCTTTTACCACTTCAAATATGAGGGGTAGTTGCCTGGGGTTGGCTACAACCAGGTATGTAGATCAAGGGTGACGTCCCAGAACTCATGTGAAGTTCATCTCCTTCAACGCTGTCTCTGTGGTTGCCAGATGACCCAAGCTGACATTCCAAGCTCGAAAGAGACAAAAGTTAACCACTGCTTGAGAAATCACTCTCAATGATAAGTAAAGCATTTAAAAGACTGGTGAGGATTTAAAAGCAAGATGTTACACATGAAAGTCAAGGCACTATGAACTAAGTTTTCACAATTAGTTAAGAGTGAAGCTTTTAACCAATACAGTGGACCCCCGGTTAACGATATTTTTTCATTCCAGAAGTATGTTCAGGTGCCAGTACTGACCGAATTTGTTCCCATAAGGAATATTGTGAAGTAGATTAGTCCATATCACACCCCCAAACATACACATACAAACGCACTTACATAAATACACTTACATAATTGATCGTATTGGGAGGTGATTGTTAAGCGGGGGTCCACTGTATATCCATTCAAAATAGGAGCAGAGGCTTTACATACAGTTGTGTTGGGAGCTGTGAGTCAAGTGATTATTCATTTGGTCAGAGCCCCACACATCACCTTTCCAGGTGGAGAAAAGGGGGGGGATAGCGGGAGCTAGACACTGACCCTACCTTAACAAGCAGACTGGCTATCAAACTATCATCACCATATCCTCGCTCGCTACTCCTATCTGTTGAACTTTTCCACTCACAAGTAGCTTATGAGAGGTTTTTTACAAAGCAGAGGTGATATAAGGACAGAGTATATAGAGAGTAAAAAAATGGTGAAGAGTGGTGAAAGTGCAAAGGGAGAGCAAATACTGGAGTGGGAGAGGCACTATCAAGAAATTTTCCTGAGAATAAGAATAAATATTTGAGTGAGATAAATAAGTTAAGGAAGCCAAGGGAACGAATGGATTTGTCAGTTAACAACAGAGTAGGGGAGTAGTAGATGGAGAGCTAGAGATATTGGGTAGATGGCACGAATATTTTGAGGAACTTTTGAATGTCAGTGAAGAAAGGGAGGCAGTAATTTCATGCACTGGCCAGGGAGGTATAACATCTTTTAGGAGTGAAGAAGAGCAGGATGTGAGTATGAGGGAGGTGCAAGAGGCATTATGTAGAATGAAAGGGGGTAAAGCAACTGGAACTGACAGATCATGACAGAAATGTTAAAGCAGAGGGAGATATAGTGTTGTAGTGGTTGGATTAAAATAAGGGTCGGATGTGAAAAGTGGGTCATAATAAATGTGTGTGCACCTGGAGAAGAGAGGAGTGTAGAGGAGAGAGAGAGATTTTGGGAGATGTTAAGCAAATGTGTAAGAACTTTTGAACCAAGTGAGAGAGAAATTGTGGTAGGAGCCCTAAATGCTAATGTTGGGGAGATGGGTGTGATTAAATTATGGGGAATCAAATACAAAATGGGAGTTGACACAGTTACGTTTTGCTGTTGATACTGTGTTTTTGGTGGATTCTAAAGAAAAGTTGCAAAGGTGAATGGAGATGAATGGTTTTTGGGACCTGACGAGCTGTTGGAGTGTGAGCAGGATAATAGTACAGTGGACCCCCGAGTTTCGTGATTAATCCGTTCCAAAGAGCCTGCCGAAAGTCGAAATTCACGAAACTCGAAACCATTTTCCCCATAAGAAATAATGGAAATAAAATTAATCCGTTCCAGACACCCAAAAATATTAAAATAAAATATTTTTTTTCAAATTAAATAAAGATTTACATGCTGAAAACAATCAGAAATCAAGCACGTGCATATAAAAAGTAATAATAACATTGCACTTACCTTTACTGAAGACTTCTGGGTGGATGGATGACGGGAGGAGGGGATAGGAGGAAGGTGTACACTATTGTTTGGAAGGAGAATTTCCTTCCATTGGGATTTCAGGTAGCAAGTCCTTTTCTGGGGTTACTTCCCTTCTTCTTTTAATGCCACTGGGAACAACTTGAGTCACTGGACCCCTGTCGCACAAAATATCTGTCCAGAGAGGTCTGTTTCTGGCATTTCTTTATGATTTGCCTGAAGTGGGACAAGGTTTTGTCACTGAACATGTTGCAGATATGGCTTGTTTCAGCTTGGTCAGGGTGATATTTTTCAACAAAACTTTGCAACTCATTCCACTTTGAACACATGTCCTTAATCACCGAAGAAGGCACCTCCTTCCCTCTCTTTTCCTCCTCCTCTGAAGCAAGTTCCTCAGCTGTGGTCTGATGCTGTTCCAGTTGAAGCTCTTGCAGTTCGTCAGTGGTTAGATCTTCCCTGTGGTCCTCCACCAACTCTTCCACATCCCCGTCACTCACCTTCAACCCTATGGACTTGCCCAATGCCACAACACCTTCCACAGCAGGCAGAGGGTCGGCATGGTCAGGGTCTGCCTCAAACCCTTCAAAATCCCTCTGGGTCGTGTTCTTCGCTTTCTTTACCAAAGGGCTTGCACTAGCTTTCCTTGGGCCCGTGGTGACTTATTTAGCAGTTGCAATCACAAAAAAACAATGGATTATTACGAATGAACCTGCGGGGTGATGGTCACGTGTTGGTAAACAATGGCACACTGAGCGTGAATGGCGTGGGAAACTGGCTTTGTGTGCGCGGTACTAGATGGTCACCGAATCACAAGTCTAATCATGAAACTTGAGGCCAAATTTTGCCAAAAAAACTTGCTGAAAGTCGGATTTCACGAAAGTCGATGCTGCCGAAACTCGAGGGTCCACTGTATTTTGTAAAGGGATTCAGGAAAATTGGTTAGCCGGACTTGAGTCCTGGAAATGAGAAGTACAATGCAGCGATGAAAGTATTTTTCTTTTTGGGGATTTTCTTTTTGCATCACCCTCCCTCGGTGGGAGATGACTGAAGTGTTAAAAAAAAAAAATTCTTAACTCATGTAATCCAAGTGCTGTACTGTATAATTAGATATGGAACTTAATGTTTGTATTATAAAATCACTGTGCTGTATATTTAGTCTTGGAACTTTTTTGTTCACTCTTCATACACACTCGTACTGTTCTCAAGGATATTACAGGTGGAATTGATAAAGATGTGATTGAAGTATAGTAGTGGAAGACTGTTTAATTTTTATTTTGATGTAATATTGTACCTTAATAGTAATTTTCCAAACAATTACAGGGCTACACCAAGTCGATTGATATTTGGTCTGTGGGGTGCATCTTAGCAGAGATGCTGTCAAACCGTCCTCTTTTCCCTGGAAAACATTATCTAGATCAGCTAAACCACATTCTTGGCATTCTGGGCTCACCATGTCAAGAGGATCTTGATTGCATCATCAATGAAAAGGTGCATTTTTTTTATATAAAAATTGTTCTTATTTTTTGACTTATAATTTTTATTTTACCTTGCAGTAAATATGGCCATCTTATTGTAATTGTTAAATTTTTAGTTTGGTATTCAAGCTTTGTAATGTCTGTTGTTTATATTTGCCATACAGTTCTGTACAAACTCTCTTTGGAGTGGCATCTAAACTGTCGTATCTGAGTGCCTCCACAGAGACAGTGATTATATGTAAATGATGGTGAACGTGTTTCTGTTTTGGATCGCCCTTCTGCAGTGGGAGACGGCCAACGTGTTGAAAAAAAAAATCTGTATTCATGAATTTTGATTATCCAGTATTTTTACTGACAGGAAACCAGTGAATAGATTTAATCATCCTGAGTTGTTCTAGCTTAGTTGGTTTCTTGTGCTCAAATCTCTTTTTATTTTTGTTATTATTTTATATGAATGTCAATATTTATTAGAGAGATATAATCTTCTTTCAACAAACCGACTGTATCCCAATGAGGCAGGGTGGCCCAAAAAGAAAAACAAGTTTCTCTTTTTAGATTTAGTAATTTATACAGGAGAAGAGGTTACTAGCCCCTTGCTCCCAGCATTTTAGTTGCCTCTTACAACACGCATGGCTTACAGAGGAAGAATTCTGCTCCACTTTCCCATGGAGATAAGAGGAAATAAACAAAAACAGGAACTAGTAGGGAAATAAAAAACCTAGAGGGGTGTGTATATGTATGCTTGTACATGCATGTGTAGTGTGTCCTAAGTATAAATAGAAGTAGCAAGATGCACCTTAAATCTTGCATGTTTATGAGACAGAAGAAAGACATCAGCAATCCTACCATCATGTAAAAGAATTACAAGATTCCATTGTACACTCACTTGGCAGGACAGTAATACCTCCCTGGGTGGTTGCTATCAATCAACTTACTACCTATTTTCTAGGAATGTAACCCCTCTCTAAGCCTTTCATTTGTCAAGGAATTCTACATTTTACTTTAGTTATACAAGTAAAAATTACTGTTTGTACTGAGAAATTAGAATGACTTAAATGAGGAATTCTTTCAACAGTGTTTATATAAAAGGCCAAAGGTAGAAGGGAAGAAACATAAATAGAAAGAAGGTTTTGTGTGGGTGGAGAAATGAATTGGTTGCGTGTGCTTAAACCTTGGTTTTATTAAACCTCTTGTTCTTAAGATTAACTTTTTTCCTTTTTTTCTGTTTTCTTGTATATTTATCATTACTAATTTTTCACTGTTCTACATCCACCCTGCCTATTGCCTTAAGGAGCACCCCATCCTCTTTTCACTGGTCTAGGTGTATGCAAGTCGTTTCTTTGGTATATACTTTTGTAAATAGATCACTATCAAAAATTCATAAAGTCTTTCAAGCATTTCTGCTGAGATTTCAGTACTTTGGGTATGAAAAACATTTTGGAAAGAAATTTTATGCCTACTTTAAAAGGGTTCTATAGGAAATGAGGCTGTATAGAATTTAGATATGAGGCAGATAAATGGGTGCATGGGTAAATATTTTTTTTTTTTTCAATATGCTGGCTGTCTCCTGCTGAGGCAGGGTGATCCAAACACAGAAATAAACACTTTCACCATCGTTCACACATAATCACTGTCTTTGCAGAGGCATGCACATATGACAGTTCAGATGTCACTCCAAACAGCAAATATCTCAAACCCCTCCTTTAAAGTGCAGGCATTGTACTTCCCACCTCCAGGACTTAAGTCCGGCTAACCGGTTTCCCTGAATCCCTTCATAAAATGTTACCCTACATTAATAAATGGATAATTTAATGACTGATAGCTGGAATCATTGATGATGAATTGTATTCAATTGACAGGCAAGAAGTTACCTACAATCTTTACCATACAAGCCAAAGGTTCCTTGGACAAAGCTCTACCCTAATGCTGATGCCAAAGCATTGGACCTGTTAGACAAGATGCTGACCTTCAATCCTCACAAACGTATTACTGTTGAAGAGGCCCTTGCCCATCCATACTTGGAGCAGTATTATGATCCTGCAGATGAGGTAAGTATTAAATGTCAAATGAAATAAATACTACTTTTACTTCAGCTGCCATCTCTCACCAGTTACTATCTTACCAGAAATGGGCTGACATCACAATTCAGATCACCTTCTGAATGTAACATTCTCACCCTTCCTTCGAAGTGCACTGCAGGCACTATCCTTCCCACCTCCATGACTAGTCTGGCTAACTGGCTTCCCTGAATTCCTTTTTAAAGGTTATATTTCTCACGCTGCAACAGTATGTCTGTTAAAAGCCAAATGTCTTTATTCACTTCCATCTAACATACTCACACAAGCCTGCTGGATGCTCAAGCTCCTAAAGCTCAGTCTCCTTTACCTCCTCCCTATATTTACATTCCTGGGATGACTCTTACCATTTTCTATCTTCCACCCAGATTTATACATCCTCATTATCATTCTATCCCTCTCCATCCTCTCAACATACCCTAACATGTGCCATTTTCTCTTGCTTGCTGATGCAAGCTCTAGATGGGAACTTCTTTCAAACTGTTTGTCTCAGCAGCATAATCACTTGGTCAGGATTGTAGTCAGAGAGAGGAAATGTCCCACCCCTGCATCAGACTGGTTTTTCACCTGCAACTGGTGATATTTTATACAAAATTTATTTTTTATTTTTTATTATCACACTGGCCGATTCCCACCAAGGCAGGGTGGCCCGAAAAAGAAAAACTTTCACCATCATTCACTCCATCACTGTCTTGCCAGAAGGGTGCTTTACACTACAGTTTTTAAACTGCAACATTAACACCCCTCCTTCAGAGTGCAGGCACTGTACTTCCCATCTCCAGGACTCAAGTCCGGCCTGCCGGTTTCCCTGAATCCCTTCATAAATGTTACTTTGCTCACACTCCAACAGCACGTCAAGTATTAAAAACCATTTGTCTCCATTCACTCCTATCAAACACGCTCACGCATGCCTGCTGGAAGTCCAAGCCCCTCGCACACAAAACCTCCTTTACCCCCTCCCTCCAACCTTTCCTAGGCCGACCCCTACCCCGCCTTCCTTCCACTACAGACTGATACACTCTTGAAGTCATTCTGTTTCGCTCCATTCTCTCTACATGTCCGAACCACCTCAACAACCCTTCCTCAGCCCTCTGGACAACAGTTTTGGTAATCCCGCACCTCCTCCTAACTTCCAAACTACGAATTCTCTGCATTATGTTCACACCACACATTGCCCTCAGACATGACATCTCCACTGCCTCCAGCCTTCTCCTCGCTGCAACATTCATCACCCACGCTTCACACCCATATAAGAGCGTTGGTAAAACTATACTCTCATACATCCCCTCTTTGCCTCCAAGGACAAAGTTCTTTGTCTCCACAGACTCCTAAGTGCACCACTCACTCTTTTTCCCTCATCAATTCTATGATTCACCTCATCTTTCATAGACCCATCCGCTGACACGTCCACTCCCAAATATCTGAATACGTTCACCTCCTCCATACTCTCTCCTTCCAATCTGATATTCAATCTTTCATCACATAATCTTTTTGTTATCCTCATAACCTTACTCTTTCCTGTATTCACCTTTAATTTTCTTCTTTTGCACACCCTACCAAATTCATCCACCAATCTCTGCAACTTCTCTTCAGAATCTCCCAAGAGCACAGTGTCATCAGCAAAGAGCAGCTGTGACAACTCCCACTTTGTGTGTGATTCTTTATCTTTTAACTCCACGCCTCTTGCCAAGACCCTCGCATTTACTTCTCTTACAACACCATCTATAAATATATTAAACAACCACGGTGACATCACACATCCTTGTCTAAGGCCTACTTTTACTGGAAAAAATTTCCCTCTTTCCTACATACTCTAACTTGAGCCTCACTATCCTCGTAAAAACTCTTCACTGCTTTCAGTAACCTACCTCCTACACCATACACTTGCAACATCTGCCACATTGCCCCCCTATCCACCCTGTCATACGCCTTTTCCAAATCCATAAATGCCACAAAGACCTCTTTAGCCTTATCTAAATACTGTTCACTTATATGTTTCACTGTAAACACCTGGTCCACACACCCCCTACCTTTCCTAAAGCCTTCTTGTTCATCTGCTATCCTATTCTCCGTCTTATTCTTAATTCTTTCAATTATAACTCTACCATACACTTTACCAGGTATACTCAACAGACTTCTCCCCCTATAATTTTTGCACTCTCTTTTATCCCCTTTGCCTTTATACAAAGGAACTATGCATGCTCTCTGCCAATCCCTAGGTATCTTACCCTCTTCCATACATTTATTAAATAATTGCACCAACCACTCCAAAACTATATCCCCACCTGCTTTTAACATTTCTATCTTTATCCCATCAATCCCGGCTGCATTACCCCCTTTCATTTTACCTACTGCCTCACGAACTTCCCCCACACTCACAACTGGCTCTTCCTCACTCCTACAAGATGTTATTCCTCCTTGCCCTATACACGAAATCACAGCTTCCCTATCTTCATCAACATTTAACAATTCCTCAAAATATTCCCTCCATCTTCCCAATACCTCTAACTCTCCATTTAATAACTCTCCTCTCCTATTTTTAACTGACAAATCCATTTGTTCTCTAGGCTTTCTTAACTTGTTAATCTCACTCCAAAACTTTTTCTTATTTTCAACAAAATTTGTTGATAACATCTCACCCACCCTCTCATTTGCTCTCTTTTTACATTGCTTCACCACTCTCTTAACCTCTCTCTTTTCTCCATATACTCTTCCCTCCTTGCATCACTTCTACTTTGTAAAAACTTCTCATATGCTAACTTTTTCTCCCTTACTACTCTCTTTACATCATCATTCCACCAATCGCTCCTCTTCCCTCCTGTAACCACAAACTTCTGCTGAACACTCTAACACTACATTTTTAAACCTACCCCATACCTCTTCGACCCCATTGCCTATGCTCTCATTAGCCCATCTATCCTCCAATAGCTGTTTATATCTTACCCTAACTGCCTCCTCTTTTAGTTTATAAACCTTCACCTCTCTCTTCCCTGATGCTTCTATTCTCCTTGTATCCCATCTACCTTTTACTCTCAGTGTAGCTACAACTAGAAAGTGATCTGATAAATCTGTGTCCCCTCTATAAACATGTACATCCTGAAGTCTACTCAACAGTCTTTTATCTACCAATACATAATCCAACAAACTACTGTCATTTTGCCCTACATCATATCTTGTATACTTATTTATCCTCTTTTTCTTAAAATATGTATTACCTATAACTAAACCCCTTTCTATACAAAGTTCAATCAAAGGGCTCCCATTATCATTTACACCTGGCACCCCAAACTTACCTACCACACCCTCTCTAAAAGTTTCTCCTACTTAGCATTCAGGTCCCCTACCACAATTACTCTCTCACTTGGTTCAAAGGTTCCTATACATTCACTTAACATCTCCCAAAATCTCTCTCTCTCCTCTGCATTCCTCTCTTCTCCAGGTGCATACACTCTTATTATGACCCACTTCTCGCATCCAAACCTTTACTTTAATCCACATAATTCTTGAATTTACACATTCATATTCTCTTTTCTCCTTCCATAACTGATCATTTAACATTACTGCTACCCCTTCCTTTGCTCTAACTCTCTCAGATACTCCAGATTTAATCCCATTTATTTCCCCCCACTGAAACTCTCCTACCCCCTTCAGCTTTGTTTCGCTTAGGGCCAGGACATCCAACTTCTTTTCATTCATAACATCAGCAATCATCTGTTTCTTGTCATCCACGCACATTTAAGCATCCCAGTTTTATAAAGTTTTTCTTCTTCTCTTTTTTAGTAAATGTCTACAGGAGAAGGGGTTACTAGCCCATTGCTCCCGGCATTTTAGTCGCCTCATACGACACGCATGGCTTACAGAGGAAAGATTCTTTTCCACTTCCCCATGGACAATAGAAGAAATAAAGAAGAACAAGAGCTATTTAGAAAAAGGAGAAAAACCTAGATGTATGTATATATATATGCATGTGCGTGTCTGTGAAGTGTGACCAAAGTGTAAGTAGGAGTAGCAAGATATCCCTTTTATCTAGCGTGTTTATGAGACAGAAAAAGAAACCAGCAATCCTACCATCATGCAAAACAGTTACAGGTTTTTGTTTCACAGTCATCTGGCAGGACGGTAGTACTTCCCTGGGTGAGTTATTGAAACTGCAGATTATGGTTGTACAAATTTTGAAAGTGCTGTATGCGATAAATGACAAATTTGTGTAGATGCATAAAAATAAGCAGTGAAAGTACAAAAGTGATAGTTAGATTCCATTAGAAGAGGGTTGGAGCTAGTATATTAATTATGGTGGAAAACAGTTGATGTGTAGAAAAAAAATATTTAGAAATGCATCACAGTTTGCTAGAATTTTTTTTTTATATAATTTTTAATTTTTCACAACCTCTATTTTGGATTCTAAAATTCACTTAATGTTGACATCACTGAATCTTGATGTACCTTGTTTGTCATCATATATGCAAAGAGAGTAGTTGAAATAAAGTGAGGCCTCAATTAAGTGATACAAAAGTTTTTACTTACCCTCTAGTTCATTATAGTCATTGGTAACACTACGAATGCACTGAAGTTTCTTTTCATCTTACATTGGTGTAATTACAAACAAAATCTGTGATAGAAATATTGTACAACTGTCAGGAAAAAGATCTTATAATTTTTATATGAGATGTATATTTTATTAGGCTGAATCAAATATCATGTAGTAATTTGTGAATATGCCCCTAGTTGACCAAATTGTCTTCAGTATAATGAAGTGTGTGGGCAAAGATGTTGGGTAAGATCTAAAGTGTGATGGAAGGCCACTGAAAAAAATTGTGCAGAAGCAGTAGTGATGCAGTAGAATAGACAATGAAAAGTGTAGCACATGTACCATACACTCCGGCATATAAGGAGCATGACAGAAGTATCATAACGGTAAATCAGTAATCATATTCAAGGGCTAATTACCCATTTTCTTTATGCTATAGCGTAACCCATACAAGACGCAGGAGGATTTTGTGGGAAAAAAGGCGTGCTTTTATGCTTTAGAATACAGTATATGCTTGTTAGACACTTTACTTAAATTTTTAAATACACTTTTTTTTACCACTGGCCGTCTCCCACCGAGGCAAAGTGACGAGGAGAAGAAACACTTTCACCATCATTCACGCTATCAATGTCTTGCCAGAGGCATGCGGGTATAACAGTTCAGATGACCCTCCAAATAGCAAATATCCCTACCCCTCCTTTAGAGTGCAGGCACTATACTTCCCACCTTCAGGACTCAGATCTGGCTCACTGGTTTCCCTGAATCCCTTTACACAAGTTTGCACTGCTCACACTTCATCAGCTTGTCAGGTCCCAAAAACCATTTGTCTCAATTCATTCCTATCTAACACACTCACACATGCCTACCATGTCCAAACCCCTTGCCCAATGAAAAACAGGGGTGCCTCCCAGCATACATAAGGGGGATTACCAATAAACCCCAAGCTGTCTTCAAGAGGGAGCTGGACAGACACCTTAAGTCAGTGCCTGACTAGCCAGGCTGTGGTACGTTGGTTAGCGTGCAGCCAACAGTAACAGCCTGGTTGATCAGGCCCTGATCCACTGTGAGGCTGATCATGGACCAGGCTGCAGAGGCATTGACCCAGGGACATCCTCCCTCCATCCTTTCCCACCTTCTCTCCACTACAGATTTATACACCCTCCAAGTCATTCTATTTTGCTCCATCCTCTCTAAATGCCCAAACAACCTCAACAACCCCTCCTCAGCTCTCTCTATAATACTTTCAGTAGCTCTACACCTCCTCCTTATCTCCAGACTATGAATTTGCCGCATAATATTTACATCACACATTGCCCTCAGACATGATCTGTCCACTGCCTCCAACCTCCTCCTCACCACAACATTTAGAACCCATGCTTCACACCCATATAAGTGTGTTGGAACCACTGTACTCTTGTACATTTCTCCCTTTGCTTTCATGGATAACATTCTTTGTCTCCACAGATGCCTCAACACACCACCCACATTTTTTCTCTTCATCAGTTCTATGGTTTGCCTTATCTTTCATATACCCATCCACTGACATGTCCACTCCCAAATATCTGAACACATTCACCTCCTTGATACTCTCTCCCTCCAATCTGATATCCAATCTCTCATTACCTAATTCACTTGTTACTCTCATCACCTTACTCTTTCTGGCGTTCACTTTACTTACCCTCCCAAATTCATCCACTAACCTTTGCAACTTCCCTTAATTTTCCAAAAGCTCAGTGTCATCAGCAAAAAGTAACTGTGACAACTCCTATTTTGTATCAGATTTGACAAATTTTAATCCCACACCTCTCTCCAACACTAGCATTCATTCCTTTTACAACCCATCTATAAATATGTTAAACAATCATGGTGACATCATGTCCTGTCTTCAACATACCCTAAGCTAAACCTTACTATCCTCATAAAAACTCTTAACAGACTTTAGTAACCTACCACCTATTCCATACACTTGCAACATCTGCCACATTGCTTCCCTATCCACCCTGTCATATGCCTTTTCTAAATCCATGACAGCAAAGAAAACTTCCCTATCTATATTTAAATGTTGTTCATTAAAGGTAGTGAAATGGTTTGAAAACAAGGTGGTGTTTTACTCTGTCTGACTGATGTTTTATCATTTCATTTGTTATGTTGATGCCTTAGTGGGGTGGCTACAGTGCTGTTCACCTTCACACAGCTTTTTTTAATAAATACTTTATCCTTTATCTTTGTCTCATGTGCATAACACAGAGGGTCACCAATTGCCTTGCTGGTTAGAAACTGGGCTGCAAATAGTTTATGGAGGATCAAGCTTCCACCAAACCTTGTGCTGAATTTCACACATGGGTTTGGCACTGTATGAAACATTACAATAACCAATAAAAGTTTTTGAAATATGGCACTATAAGTTTTATATTAAAATGTTTTGTGCTTTCAGCCTGTTGCTGAGGAACCTTTCAAATTTGAAATGGAACTTGATGACTTGCCAAAGGAGAAGCTTAAAGAACTAATCTTTGAAGAAACGGTGTTATTTAAGCAACGTATTACTGCTGAAACACCTATGCAGCAAAACTGAAGTAGAAGATAGGTTATAAAAGTGACTTGAGAAATGAGCAGTATAGTATGAACAGGCTAACTTCTTTGGGAGGACATTTATGGAAATGTCTGGAAACTTTTGGCAAGCCAGCCTGTTTGCTAAAGATTCAGGTATTACCAAGAAATGTGTTATATTGTCACTGAAGAATGCTGTGTTTAGGCCAGCGGAGATCATTACTCTTGAAAGCCCATTTGGGTTTGCGGGACCTGAACCAAAGGGCATGATCTCTGTGTGATGAAAATTGGACAAGTGCCTCTCCTTAAGGTTCATTCAGGCAATACATAAAAGACTGAGTGTTTCATCTGGGAAGTGAGCCTGCAAAGAGTTCATCTGACATAAGTGATGGAAAAGATTTGATGACAATATGAACAATGGGGGCAAGATATCTGATGGCTCAGAGTGTGAATTTGAGAAAAGTTTCTTCCAAGAATCTAATAACTACTTTCAATATTGTGGCACTTTTACCCAACATGTGTTTCACATGTGGCAGGTAATTGCATAAATTTTAGAAAGTTTTAAGTTACATGATTCTTCAGAAGTAAAGGGACATAATTCTTACAAATTAATTTCCTTCTAGAGTAACTGTGGTGTTTACTTAAGTGGTAGCGATCATTTATGCCTCTTAGACAGTCAATGCCATGCTACTTTGGAAGTGCTGATGAGGAAATAATTCTGAGGAAGGTGTTGCTCATAACCCTTGAAATGTGGTAATAATGGCAATGTGGAGCTTTTGGGGGGAAATGGGGGGGGTAGATGAGGGTTGGGGAGAGGTTATTTCGTATGGGATATTGGGGCTGTAATGCATTTTTTAACATCAGTCAAATGTAACTCCTATAATGCTGACTACTTAAGTCAAAATTAAAAATATATCTGCATTCCAACTACAGTAGTATGTGTCTACCTGAAGAATCAATTAGAATACACTGCTGTCAATTTTGAGAGGACATGATATTTATTCAGCATTGGGAATATTAATTGTCATTTTACCCTAAAACCAAAGTAAAGAATGTTTAAATAAAAAGTATAAAAAAAAAATTGGTAATATGTTGGTAGTGTTTTTAATGAAATCGTGTACGCAGGTGAGCATTTTCCTTGAGACACATTGTCTTAGGACAGGAGGTTCTCTCAACACCTTGACCTGTATGTTGACCATACAGCATAGCTAATTGAAATGTGTTACAGGATTTGGTTCTTAGGAAGATCCTACTTTAAGCTAATAGTCTATAGTTTAATTAACAGTTAAAAATAATAGTGACTTGCATAGTTCATAAATTTTCAATATTATGTTGGCTATGAAATAAGAATCTACCATGTCATGTCAACCTGACACCAAGATAAATGAATGAATATTAAAATTTACTTGTATTTGTGTCCATATTAAGAAGAGTATGAAGTCTTCTTAGTTGGGTATAAAAATGTTTGAATTTATCTTATATTATTTTTATAGGGCTTTAATATTGTATTTAATGGGTTGAGCAAGCATTTCTGATACTAAAAATGTCATGAATTATATTTTATGACAGGAAGGATATGCAAGGTGTTGATCATTGATCACATGTCAGGGATATACTTAAACAGATAAGCAGCATTATAGGGAACAAGCCTTTAATAATGAGATCCCAAGATTTCTGTAACGAGCATATCATGTCCCAATTGTAGACTGAGGTCCAAGGGTACACACTGGGCAGTGCCCAAAGTTGTATGCAGACAGCATAAGTTATTCAAGAATCATGCATTTATAATTTTAGCTCAAGATTATTATGTACATCTCAAATTTATTCTTTTATTTTCCAAAGTCCAATGAAGTATATAAGAATTCTTACATTTTGTGCAAAATATTGAAAAATATCCTGTGTCAGATTTGTGATTGAGAATGAGTTTGTGGATTAATTAGGTAAGTGCTGACAGCTTAATAAATATCAGACTTTTCTATATTTGCTGTCATCTATTTTCTCTGTTAATAGCTGTTACTTTTGCACTTTAGTGAATGCTAGGAAAATAACCTCCATACAAATGGCAGTAAAAATATCATAGTGTGTTTTGATGATAAAGAGGTCTATTGCTGTCTCTTGATACCTCAAGTTTGTAGACAGTCATGGTAAGTGTAATTGTATGTGGGCATAATTGTTATGTGTCATGTTATTTGTATCATCTTGTTCCCTCACTGTGAGGTGATCCATTTATTAGGCCAGAGTTGGTATATAGTCTTGAGATATTAGTAATAACAACCTATTTTTCATAGTTGAATGTGCCATAAGGAGTCCCTATCATATGAGCAGGGATTTTTAACAAAAGATTTCCATTTCCATTTCATAGTCAGGCATGCCAGTATTTTTTTATCCTGAAATGTCTTTGGGTATTAAGAATAATTTCAAACTATACGATTGTTTTTGTGTCCACTTAGTCTATTATGAGTATATAATTTATGAGCAGGTAAATAATATTGAGACACCGGTGATTGTTACTAAAGATGACCAACAAAATGACAGTACATGTGACTTTTTCAAGTTTTCATGATTAATGCTCATTTTAGTTCCTTCTATTATTTTTTGTGTTATTATTACCTTATAATTTACATTAAACTTCATTTACAGTAAAACCTATCATACCTGGTGTTCCAGTAACTCTCAATATCTTTTTCCAATATTGTTCATTACTCAAAAACAAATAAAGTACTCAGTAGTGGCACAGCAAGGGGAAGGGATCAGCCAATGTTTGTTGTGGGCATGGACTTACTGCCATTTTTGTGTTTATAAATATTGGCTAGTATTATGACTAAGTAGGAAGGAAATTTATTTTAAAAAATTATTGCTCTTCTTTAGATATGACCTCTTAATTACACAAATACTGTGCATATAATATTGCTGCAGTACATCAGAAAGCAGTGCATGTTAAGGAAAGCATGTTATGGTGATATAAGTTAAAAGTACTGTAGTTTGTTCAAATTTGATATAGCAAGGCTTTGATTAGTACGAATAATTAATTCTGCTAAACGATGACATTAACCTAATTTGTACTACTTGAAGTTGTTATAACAGTCTTCTTTCTTTCAACACACCGGCCATATCCCACCGAGGCGGGGTGGCCCAAAAGGAGAAACAAAAGTTTCTCCTTTTACATTTAGTAATATATACAGGAGAAGGGGTTACTAGCCCCTTACTCCCGGCATTTTAGTCTCCTCTTACAACACACATGGCTTACGGAGGAAGAATTCTGTTCTACTTCCCCATGGAGATAAGAGGAAATAAACAAGAACAAGAACTAGAAAGAAAATAGCAGAAAACCCAGAGGGGTGTGTATATACTATATGCTTGTACACGTATGTGTAGTGTGACCTAAGTGTAAGTAGAAGTACCAAGACGTACCTGTAATCTTGCATATTTATGAGACAGACAAAAGACACCAGCAATCCTACCATCATGTAAAACAATTACAGGCTTTCGTTTTACACTCATCGGCAGGACGGTAGTACCTCCCTGGGTGGTTGCTGTCTACCAACCTACTACCTTTAAACACAAAGTATAGTACGTAATTGGTCTCTCTCCATTGAAAACACAGTATTCAATAAAAATTTTTAATACACTACCAAAGGATAACAACAATGTATTTTCTATTCAGGTTTATTATAAACTGAATAATGATGAAGTTATTATATTTTATTGTTGATCTAAGTTAAGGTCTCTTATTAGCCATTCTTCTAGAGTCTGATTCAAGCAAGTTAGACACTTGTAGAGTCCAGTTCATTGAAACCAAGCTGCCTACCAATGTCTGTTATTCCTTCAACAGTAGCTTGCACTTGAGAGGGGAAGCCCTCAAAATTATTTGTGCAATGAGGCACAATGTGTTAACACACTGCACACATTGTTTGCAGTTTAATTCTTTCCAAGCATGAGAAATATTATCAAATTTGTTGGTCTGTGTTTCCACCATCTTCAACTATTTTCTTCAAAAAAATTAAGATATTTAGCAGCAGTTTCTTAATCTACATTCACCAGTAATTTTATCATTGTATATGACTCGCAAAATCGTAATGACACGATTGCAAACAAACCATACCACGGGCGGGATTTGAACCTGCGGTCAGAGAGTCTCAAAACTCCAGACCGTTGCGTTAGCCACTGGACCAGCTAGCCACAATAAGATTCGTCCAACTAGGTATATTTCTACACCATAGGAAGGTTAGCATAGGCACCACTGTGACCACAAATGCAAGTTTTTACAGACGAATCTCCAGCTAGCGTGGCCGTGACGAACTCTAGCAGTGAGGGGACTTCAGCTAGAGTTCGTCACGGCAATGCTAGCTGGTGATTCGTCTGTAAAAACTTGCATTTGTGGTCACAGTGGTGCCTATGCTAACTTTCCTATGGTATAGAAATATACCTAGTTGGACGAATCTTATTGTGGCTAGCTGGTCCAGTGGCTAACGCGACGGTCTGGAGTTTTGAGACTCTCTGACCACGGGTTCAAATCCCGCCCGTGGTATGGTTTATCATTGTATAATTTAATTCAATTTCTAAAATGGTCGGACCAGCCATTCTGTCATTGTAATGCTTCTATTTCTAGTTGTTTGCAAGCCACAAAAAACGCCGATGCAGCTGTACCTTTGTCTTTGATTTCATCTGCGTGTTTTATAACATTATATACTGTAGATTCATGCATTCCAACATCTCGGCCTTTTTTAAGGGTTGCTATTGCCATGTGCATGTTGCTTTTTTATGGCTATTTTTTATTCCAATGCAATAACAAGCCTCCTCTTTTTTGCTCTTGCAGTATTTTCACTGTCAGGTATTCTTGTTTGCCCCTATTTTCTAAGGGCAGTTTATCAAAACTTAAAATATAGTACTGACAACAGGCAGCTGGATGGGCAGCAAACTCGTACTGACCAAATTTTGACTTATTAAATAAGGTCTGGTATTTTATAATTTGTGGTAAATCAAATTTCATTCTAATTGAGGTTTTGCTGTGCTTCTACTACAGTTGTGCATTCTTTGAGTAAATGTAAAGTATAAGTACTCAGATAGCCAAGTATGCATTGATCAGACAAGTTCTGCTTAATTTGAGGCAGAACTGTATCAGCAAAAGCTTGACATGATGTGGCTGGATGATTAGCAACCAAGCAAAAGAATTACAGTATGCAGAAACTAATACTTTTGAGCAACATTTCCTTGGATTGTCTTGATTTGTTTAGCTAACATTGTGGTACAGTACTAGAAAAACAATGATGGCGAAAAGAATTCTGCAGGTGAATGAGATTATAGATATGAAAATGAGATTGCAAATGAGAGGGAGATGGAAATTCTCCAAGAGTTCTGATATGGGTTTCATATTTATACCTGTCTCATTCTCTTTAAAAAGTTTCATTTCATAAATGGTGTTAGAATATTGGCCTCAGATTTTTTAATGTTTCAATAGATAGGATAAGAGAAATGGAATAATTAACATAAAAAAAAATTAAAGAATCCTGTTTTGTAGCTTTTTACAACAATTTTTATTATTAAGCATTGTTACAGCAAAATGCATGAGAGCAGATGTGCAGCATATATCATCATCATTCAACAAACTGGCCATATCCCACTGAAGCAGGGGTGGCACAAAAAGAAAAACGAAAGTTTCTCCTTTTAAATTTAGTAATATATACAGAAGGGGTTACTAGCTCCTTGCTCCCCTATATACAGTAGGGCCCCACTTATTCAGCAGGTTAGGCTCCAGGCTACTGCTGGAAAGCAGAATGCCATTTTTTCCACTTATAAATGAATATAAATGCCAGATAACAAATTTACACTAACATATATTAAGTTAGCAATAGTACTAGGCATTAAAAACAATACAAATTATAATATGCACACAGTACACCCATTACTTACCTTAAAATATTTGTAGTCTTAATGGAGGGTGAGAGGTGAGTTTGTAGGAAGTCAGGTTTGGGAGGTATGGTAGCCAGCCAGGCCAGCCCACCCCACCCCACCCCACCCCACCCACATGTAATATACTACATTTAATTAAAGCACCCCAGAGTGATAAAATACATATACAGTACAGTCATTAATTACCTTAAAATATTTGTAGTCTTAATATAGGGTGAGAGCTGAGTTTTATTTGTAGGAAGTCAGGTTTGGGAAGTATGGTAGCCAGCCAAGGCTGCCCTCTCCACCTCACCCCACCCCACCCACGCACAATGTAAACAAACCAGCTGAACATGTCTGGTGTTCATTCATAAATGTTTGTATTATACAATAATAAAAACACTTTACATTGTGTACAAGTTGTCTCCATGTTGACACAGTAGAATAAATAAAGACCAACACTTCCATTCTCATGTTATTTTTAGAAGGAATGATGCTCTGACAAATTATTATTATTATTATTACAAATTATTATTACAAGTCATTATTACAAATTATTATTATTATTATTACAAATTATTATTACAAGTCATTATTACAAATTATTATTATTATAATCATAAAAAAGAAGTGCTAAACCCACAAGGATCGTGAATATCTATAGATAGAGTGAAGGCATACGAAAGGAATAAATTTCTAGTTAAGTTTCTGGTGTTTGACTAGAGAAAATGTAATTCTTCTACTCTCCTACCAAATGCTTGGTAAACAAATCGCATATTTGTGTCAATTTTTATACAATGGGTGTATGTATCATGTTTATATGTTATGTAACTTGTTTATTATATAATTTTGAAAATATCATAGATGGATTAATGGAAATGTCTCTATTAACGTAATCTATGACATTTAATGCACCCAAGAGATTATATGGCATCGAGTAGAGAGAGACTTAGTGATTTTAATGTGTACCTGCACGCCAACACAGTGTGTAAGTATATTTAGGTACAGGTACACATAAATATAATTATCAGAGTACATATAAAATATGCAATAACTTTAAAACACTTGACATTTTGGAAAATTTCCGGACATAATAGAGTTGTGCTCACGGAGAATGTAAACAAACCAGGTGGGGTGCACTGTGTTTGAAAGACCGCTTGCTGTATAGCAAATTTTGGTCATAATTTGACATCGCCATATTAGCAGAATGCCGTAAGGTGGGGCCATACTATATACGTGTGTGTGTGTGTGTGTGTGTGTGTGTGTGTGTGTGTGTGTGTGTGTATATGTATGTATATATATTTGTGAAGGGATTCAGGGTAACCAGTTAGCCAGACTGGTGGGAAGTACAATGCCTACATTTTAAAGGAGTTGGTTGGGATACTGGCTGTTTGGAGTGATGACTAAACTGTCATATCTGAGCTCCTCTGCAAAGACTGGTTATGTATGAATGATGGTGAAAGTGTTGAATGATGATGAAAGTTTTTTCTTTCTTTTGGTTTTTTTTTATTTTTGGGTTACCCTACCTTGGTGGGA